TGAACCAAGTGGATTTTGGCATTAAAACCCAATTGAAAGACTCGTGAGGCTCATTCTGCTTTCTGATTGCATAATTTTCTTGAGAAACAAAACAAATATGTACCAGTAAAAGCTAGATTTGCTTTGTCATGTTTGCCTGGTATCTAGGGGCACGCGTCACGTCATATTTGTGAAATTTATCATCAAAATCTTACAGTTCCTTTAACCCTTGTAAGGTCTTCGGGTCTGTGGGACCCGTTTTCAGTTTTTAACTTCAGAAAAATTATACAAAGAATTATTTTTTCAGCCTGAGATTATTTGGCCTTGGCTCATTTTGAGTGAGGAACATGAATCAGAAAAAAAATTAACTGGAACCCCCTTGATTCCACCTTCACACTTATATTACATACAGGGTCTTTGGGTCCACTGGACCCGGAGCTACTGAAAGTATGAAAATCATAGCTCCTCATTTCCCCTTCTCCTCTTTGGGCCTGTGTGTGTGTGTGTGTGTGTGTGTGTTGTGTGTGTGTTGTGTATGTGTTGTGTGTGTGTGTGTGTGTGTTGTGTGTGTGTGTGTGTGTGTGTGTGTGTGTGTGTTGTGTATGTGTTGTGTGTGTGTGTGTGTGTGTGTGTGTGTGTGTGTGTTGTGTGTGTGTTGTGTAGTGTGTGTTGTGTGTGTGTGTGTGTGTGTGTGTGTGTGTGTGTGTTGTGTGTGTGTGTGTGTGTGTGTGTGTGTGTGTGTTGTATGTGGTGTGTGTGTGTTTTGTATGTGGTGAGTGTTGTGTGTGTTTTGTATGTGGTGTGTGTGTGTTTTGTATGTGGTGTGTGTTGTGTGCGTTTTGTATGTGGTGTGTGTGTGTTTCGTATGTGGTGTGTGTTGTGTGTGTTTCGTATGTGGTGTGTGTATGTGTTGTGTGTGTTGTGTGTGTGTTGTGTGTGTGTGTTTTATATGTGATGTGTGTGTGCTGTGTGTGTTTTGTATGTGGTGAGTGTTGTGTGTGTTTCGTATGTGGTGTGTGTATGTGTTGTGTGTGTTGTGTGTGTGTGTGTGTGTGTTGTGTGTGTGTGTGTGTGTGTGTGTTGTGTGTGCACCCAACACTATCTGCACCCACATCTCACCCTCTGTCTGAATGAATAAATGAATGAATCCAGGGTTCCTCATAAACATCTCTGTCAGTGAGAATCCCAATCACAACTGATGATGATGGTGATGAACACCATGACGGTGATGAACACCATGACGGTGATGAACACCATGACGGTGATGAACACCATGACGGTGATGAACACCATGACGGTGATGAACACCATGATGGTGACTGCGATGGAACTGATTCTAGAAGAGGCAGAGGGTTTTGATGGTGCAGCTGAGGAAGATGTCTCTGAGAATGAAGATCAAATTTGTGAAAATTCAGGGTCAGAGAGTGAGTTTGAAGAGGACGGGGACAGGAGGGTGAAGATCAGCCAACAGAGCCAGGAGCAGGAGCAAAACACAAGCAGACATCAGCCATAGGACCAGTCTGCCAGCAGCTGGTCCAAGGACCAACTTATGAGAGGTGAGCTGGTGAGCAGCGAGACATAGGAGGGGACAATGTATGATTGAGAAAAGATGGAAAAATTCAGTGGTGTTCCACTTCAAGACAGGGCCTTCACACGGCTGCCATCATGATACTGAAGGCACCAGGGCCTACACCAGGGGTGTCAAACTCATTTTGGTCCGGGGGCCGTATCCAACCTACTTTGATCCCAAAGGGGCCAGATCAGAAAACTCATGTCATATAAACCCCAAAAATAACAATAAGTTCAAATATTTGTGCAGAGAAACACAAATCTATTACAGAAATCTTTTTTAATTGATTAACTTATTATACTCTTATTATAATATTATAATATTATGAACAACCTGAAACTTTAAGAAAAATTCAATTTCAACATTTCAAATATTTTAGTAGAAAATCACCCAAGGGCCACATTAAAGGTCTTGGAGGGCCAGATCTGGCCCCCGGGCCTTATGTTTGACGCCTGTGGCCGACACGCTCGGCAGTCACACATGTAGGTCTTCTTTTGACATTTTCATGCCACCCCAGATCAATAACATGATCCTGGACTGCACCAATATAGAAGGAAGGAGTGAGGAAGAGAGGAAGGTTTTTGATTAAACTAATTTAGATGCCTACTTTGAGATTTTTATCCTTGCCAGTGTTTTCCGTGTTTTTCTGTGTTTTTGTGCACTTTTTACACTTGGTGTTTCACCAAGTGTAAAAAGTACATCTGCAATAGACACAGTGAAACTCTGCCCCTCGTGTGATATAGTCTGTCATGAAAATGTCTGTGTTCAGTGGAACTAATGTGTTGTTCAGAGATGTTGTGTAAACTCACCTGTGTAAGTAAAATTTCTGATGAAACTCAAATGAATAGTTCACTATAGTGTTGTGAGAACTTTTTTTCATTTGTACATCGTTTGATTATTATCCAGTCATGACTGTTATATGATGCATTTCTTTATTTTATTCTATTTTAATAACCCTAACCTTTACAAAAACGAGTGGCCTTTTTATTCATAAATGTAATTTAACAAAGGTAAAGGGAGGAAATTTAACAGTAAGTTGTTAATACTACCAATTCCAATTCAGCATCTGCTGAGAATTTTTACAAAAAAAGGTTTAAATATGATGATGTAAAAGCTCCAAAGTGCAATGGGTCCACCAGACCCAGCAGGACTCCCTGTGTAACAAAAAAACGAAGACCTTACAAGGGATAAACAGTTACTGTAAATGTTGAACCTGATCATTTATATTAGTGACACATGGACTTGTGACCTCACCAGCTGACCCTGCCTCGTACTGTAAGGACTTTGAAGCATTGCTTTCATGTTGCAGTAGACATATCTGCAGTCTTAGTCACACTAATGCTGTTTCCTCCAGACCAGACTAAAGAGGGTCTGATGGGCCCCTCCCTCCTCTCTGTGTCAATGGAGTTTTTCCTGCTCGCTGCCACTCCTTTCTTCTTCTCGTTTCTCTTTGTTGTGAGATCAATCCAAGAAGACAACATCCTGCTAACATAAGGGCGGCACAAACAAGTGGAAATCAACACGTCTTTGCTGTAGTCGTGCATGAAGTAGTAGACTAAAAAAAATGCAGTAAAATAAGATGAATGTGTGTCTTTGCCTTCTGTCCATAAGGTTGTGAGTTCAAATCTTGCAAGTGGCATATATTGTTGCTGTTGTTGTGTTCCTTGGCAAGACACATGCATTTGTTTCTGCAGCATTTTAAGGAGATGCAACTGTTTAAAAGAAATTTGATTTTGAATAGTTATGATCATGACCATTGAACCTCCCATTAAAGGTGCACTGTGCAGCTTTTCTGGTGGAGGGTTCACTACCTACTTGTCTCTGTGGAGATGTTATTGCTTTGCCTGGAATATTCCAGGGTATGACTTTAAATATATCTATCTAGCATTTATTCATTGAGGGAGTTTCTATTGCTCAAAAATACAACAGTTCCTTCTGTGTATAGAAGCGACTCTCCACAGATCTGACTTGTAATGTAGTGTAGTGCTGTAACCTGCTTGTTTCCCTTGTGATAGACAGGTTTAATCTATACTGTGGAACTTTCTAGACAAAGCAACATCTTTTCCTTGGAGACAAGCAGGTAGAGGAGAACCTTGCACAGAAAGATGGATTCTTGTGATATTTTTGAGTTCACAAACTCATGAGTATCCATCTTGAGGTGCTCATGAGCCTGGTTTGGTGGTGGACCCTCCACTAGAAATGTTTCACAGTGCACCTTTAACAGTAGGAATGGTGTTGAAACATTTTATCAGATACTCCAGAACATGTCATCACCAATCAAAACATCATGATACATGACCTACAAAAACGATTACAAACAGGGAGGAATTCTGTTTAAACTTGAGGAATTTGACCTCACTCGTGTGATCAGCTGCTCTGCTCTGAGGCAGGCAAAGGATGTTACAGCACACAGAGTTCTGGAGAATTTCACCAGAGCTTTACGGGAATCTGACTTTATTTCCTGCTAATAGAATTGTTGATATAGGTGTGGGTCCGTGTGTGTGTGTTTATGTGTGTGCTTGTGTGTGCACGTGCATGTGTGCGTGCGTGTGTGGGTGGGGGGGGGGGGTGGGGTCCGTGCGTGTGTGTGCATGTGTACGTGTGCGCGCGTGTGTGTGTGTGCGTGCATGTGCATGCGTGTGTGCGTGCGTGGGGGTGGGGGGGGGGTGCGTACGTGTGTGTGTGTGCATGTGTGGGTGTGTGTGTGTGTTCACGTACAGGAAGTCTTGTTCTGTTCATGAGAAGTGACAGGTCTAAAGAAATACCAGGAAGTAAACACAGTTGCCTTGTGTCCCTTTGGCTCATCAGTTTCTCTGTATTGTATTAATGGTTGACAGATTGGTATATTTGCATTACTTTTCAGGTAGGGGGGCTGCTTGCCTCAGTGGAGATGTTGTACAGTATTGCAAACATGTCTATCACCATGGCGTCAGATCTGTGAAGAGGCGACCCCCCACACACTATAAGAATGCATGAGCTCAGTGGTCTTAAGTACTGAACATTAAATACAGCTTAATGCTAAAACTATATTGTCAAACCTTGATACTGATGTGGACGTGCATTCATTCTGAAAAAAACAACAACAAACAAACAAAGCAATAACAACAACAAAAAACATACAAGTGTATTGATTGTTGGGTCACCATGGAAACTGCTGAACATTCCGCCAATAGAAATGCATTACAGAAAACCACCGGCGCGATGTCACTGTGAATTATCAGTAGTTATCATAGGTTTCTTTCTGTTATATGGTGTCATTTTGTGCATTAACAATTCAAAAGATATACTTTTAGTTTTGAATTGTTAATTGCTATGGCGGCTGTCCTAACTCATCATCTTTGGGAACCTCTGTTAACTCTTAAGGAGATGTAAATTAACCATGAATCTATAGCGTGCCGTTTTGTGAGTACCAGTACATTTAACCAATGGTTGTGTTGTGTTTCTTTTCCAGAGGATCACAAAGGGGAGGATGTCTTCAAAGGCCCACAACAACCTGCTCCAAACCAAGAGGATAGTGCACCAGCTGAGGATAGAAGCGAGCCTCGAGAGGATAAAGGTAACACCATGGACTTTTACTCCAATACATTTACACATTTACCTTAAGAGAGCCATGTAGTCACATTTTGTGCAGTTATATTTTCATATTAGTGTTCAAATAAAGTTTTGTGTGACCATACCGACCGTAACAAAATATCAGCCAATAGCAGATGCACTAATAAGTCCAAATATCGTCCATATATCGGTCTATCTCTAATTCTTCTTAACAATATAGACCTTTTTTTTTTTTTTTTTTTTACAACAGCCGGTTAATGGTTTTCTGTGGCAAAATGTCTGTGAAAATGTCTCACCTACTCTCCTCCAGCATCACCAAACTCCAACAAGGTCCACAACTGTCAAGGGAAGAAAGACGAGAGCTTACAGGCGAATGACTACTGTTGAGCAAAACTAAAGTTATGGTAATGAATAAAACATAAGTAACTTGTTCACTCAGAGTGATTCTAGAATTAAAATAAAAAATCAGTTTCGTGATGTAGATATCAGCATAGACAGATAGATTTGTGCAGTTTGAATACTACAGATGTTCACAGATTACATGTCTAACATTCAAACTGCACAAATGTATCTATCTATACTAATAGACATCATGAAATCCATTTATTTTAATTCTCAAATTAGTCTGAGTGAACAAGTTCCTTCTGTTTTGTTCATGATCATAAAGTTAGTTTTGTTCAGTAGTTCACTAATGTGTGGTCGTTGTTCTCCTTTAAGTTTTCATCTTTCTTCTCTTGATAGTTGTGGATAAATTCTTCATGGGAGAATGTTTATCCTTTGTGGACCTTGTTGGTTGAAGATTTGGTGATGTGGCAGATTTATGAAGCTGGTGGAGAATATGCCAGACAATTTCCACAGACATTTTGCCATAGAAACCATTCACTGGAAGTTCCTCAACTTGCAGCGGGACACTTCCAGCTGTTGTGGAAAAGGTCTGTTGTGGCGATACATCAAATTGAGAGAACAAGCAAATTAAATTAAATGCACAGAATAGGCCAACCAGAACTAAGTGTCATTGTCTTTTTATAAAATTTTATATTTTGAATGTATTTTTATTTTGTAGGTGTCCAAAGCATCGGCAGACCTGATGCACTACTGCAATGAACACGCCCGGCATGACCCCCTCCTCATGGGGATCCCCGCCTCAGACAACCCCTTCAAGGACAAAAAGCCATGCACCATATTGTAACGCACGCCCCTTTAGCATTTTAAGTTTTATTTTTGCTTATTAATGATGTTGCCATTTTCTTTCGTCGGCAAGGTGAGGGGTGGGCTTGGATTTTGACCGTGCATTCCAGTGGTGTAGCTGTTCAATACTGAAGCAGGTACAGGGGAGTTTGCCATAGGGTGCATTTAAATGTATTTTTTGATGTGGCGAAAATGTCAGAAAATATGGACCAAACTTGAAATTTTTAAAGAAACTTCCAAACAAAAAAGCTAAAAAATTGTAGTGATTGGGTCCATAAATGATCTTAAATTAATCTATGACTTAAAGTTCTGTGTGCGTAAACGGATAACACCACAACTTTTAAAGGTGCATTGTGTAACTTTTCTGGTGGAGGGTCTGTCAAATTCTTTTTTCCATGGAGACGTTATTGCTTTGTCTAGAATGTTCCAGAACGTGGAGAGGCGACCACACTCACAGTCAAAATGCCTTTTTTTTTAGGTATTTTTGAGCTGTAATACCACCTGTAATTTAATAAATGTAAACAGCAATGGCATTTCCATAGAAACAAGAAGGTGATGGACCCCAAAGAAAAAGTTACATAGTGCACCTTTAATGCTGAAAAATGAATTTGATCAGTTTTAATTACATTTTTTATGTTAAGCTATGGACTTTTTGATGAATTTATATCATATAAACACACCCAATGAGCTCCACCCTTTGCCAATTAAAAAACATATATATTTACAACTTTGACCACTAAACTGTGTGTTAATAATAGGCCTAAAGATTTTTTTTTTTGTATTGTTTGGGGCTGTAATAGGAATTGCTGAGTTCGATTGTCAGCGATGACTGTTGGACTCCTGCTAATGCTCAGAGCTAGCGCATAGATACAGTGCAAATAAATGGACCAATGAGTCAATGTCAGCTTCAAGAACTTAGCGACGGCAATTTAGAGCAAAGTTAATTTTATAACCATGCTAAATTATAACATGAAGCTAGGTTTTAGTCTCTTGACCAAGTTCATTTTTTGCTACTGTTTTTCACTAAACTTGCCATTTATTCAACACAATCTCAATCTTCAGAAGTTTTTTAATTAAAACATTTTGCCAATAAGTTTTATATTTTTATGCTAAAGACAGAAGTGTTTTTAGATAAACCATGCTAGTAGGAAAACCAACTAGACCAATGAGCTAAGTCAACGTTAGCTTCAAGAATTAGCGACATCAATATAGAGCTGAGCTAATTTTATATCCATGATAAATTATAACATGAAGCTAGGTTTTTGTCTCTTGACCAGTTCATTTTTGCTACTGTTTTTGACTAAATTTGACCTTTATTCAACACAATCTCTATCCTCAATCTTCAGATAATTATTTTTATTAAATCGTTTTGCCAATATGTTTTATATTTCTATGATAAAGACAAAAAGTCCTATGGTAGCAGAAAAACCAAATTGACCAATGAGCTAAGTCAACGTTAGCTTCAAGAAATTAGCAACATCAATTCAGCACCATGCTAATTTTATAACCAAGTTAAATTATCACCTCAAACTAGTTTTTTTGTTGTTGCTGTAGGCCTATTTAAACATAAAACAGACCTATTAATGGTGAAATATTATAATTATCCGGTTGCATAGATTTTGTCTCGTGACCAGTTCATTTTTTGCAACTGTTTTTTGATAAATTTGCTCTTTTAGTCTCCACAATCGGAAATGGAATTAAAACTTTTTGCCAATAATTTTTATATTATTTTATGATAAAGACAAGTGTTTTTAAAAATAACATGTCATTTTAAACTCATGGTACTAGGGAAAACAGAATTCATGGTTTCATTTGTGAATTTTTTTCTAATTTCTTTGGACACAATTTGAGAAATACTAGTGTAGTGTTATTAAAAACAAAATACCCCAAAACATGAGCAGCAAGTACGACACTTTAGTTGATTTTTTTCATTGGAATATGAAATTGGAATGAATTCTGTTGTGTTTAAAAGTTTATCATGAGGCCACTGGTACGCTGGAACAGTTCTGAGGAATTAAGTTTAGTGGAATTCCTTTAACTGTCTATGAATCTCTATGAAGAATGTTCAAGGACTTTGGCTTGACTTTCTCTTTCCATGGAATCGTTTAGATGATGCACCACTTCCAGAAAGTTGCATACTGTATTTTTAACCACCATTTGATTTGTATTTACTTTTCTTTAAATGTTGCAGTATACAGAATATAACTTCATTATTCACAGATTCAGTGTTGCAATTCTGAATCTCACATTTTTACAGTACAATCAGTAACCTTTATATTGATTATTGAGTATTATCCACAGCCAATACTACAATCACGTGTTTCTTTTTATGAAAACACTGTGACAAATGGGACCAAACCGACCAACGAACTGCCTTTAAATCATCTCAGCTCTTTCCTCCATCTTTCTATGGTACAAACTGGAGTGTCTTAAACAAACGTGCACTTTCCCCTGGTCTTCAAAGGGTCCGTCTAACTCTTTTTTCTGATCTGTGTTATAATGGAGTTTCCTCGTCACAAATAGACCTGGAGTTGTGTTTTGTTGCATTCACACATGTTTAACACACAATTTCAATTCTGAGTTCATCTCTCAAACTGAAAACACTCTGTTCCACCTTGTGATGTCATGTGGTAATACAGGAAGTGCTCCACTGTGTTTTTAAACTCCACACACCTTCACTGGAATCATTTGGATTATTTCAACTGTGGAATTGACAGTCTCTCTGAACTAAAGGTAGTTGACCACACAAGGTGGAACAGAGCATTTTGAGCTTTGGAGATGTAGAAGGCTCTTGATTTACTGGTCAGTCTTCGTTCCTCCCCTCACTTCTGGTCATGAGTTTTGGGTAATGACTGAAAGGGCGAGATTGTGGATACAAGCGGCCAAAATGAGTTTCCTCCGCAGGGTGGCTGGGCGCTCCCTTAGAGATAGGGTGAGGAGCTCTGTTACACGGGAGGAGCTCGGAGTAGAGCCGCTGCTCCTCCACGTCGAGAGGAGCAGCTGAGGTGGCTCGGGCATCTGTTCCGGATGCCTCCTGGGCGTCTCCCTCGAGAGGTATTCCAGGCATGTCCCACAGGGAGGAGGCCTTGGGGAAGACCCGGACACACTGGAGGGACTATGTCTCTGGGCTGGCCTGGGAACACCTCAGGATCCCCTGGTGGAGCTGGAGGACATGTCTGGGGGGAAGAAAGTCTGGGAGTCCCTGCTTAGACTGCTGACCCGACCCCGGACAAGTGGAAGAAAATGGATGGATGGAGATGTAGACAGACTAATAATAAAGAGTTACTCAAAACACAACAAAACTCAAAACACAACTCCAGGTCTGTTTTTTGAGGACGTAACAGCATTATAACATGACTTAAATCTCATGAGAGTCAGTTTTGTGTAATATAGGCCTTCAAGTTTGGTCAGTGCTGGTTCAAACGCCTGCTATGATAAAACTATGCTAGTGTTGTTTCTGTTTCTTGTGAATAGTCATCTGCGTGTTATGGTGGGTGGGGTCTACCATTGACAGTAACGAGGGCTAGACTCAGATAGCAGGCTTATGTGGAACTGGGTGTTTGTATGTATTTCCATTACTATCAAACCATGTCAAACATATTGAAAATCAGATACTAATCAATCCTAAAACTAGTCTTGAAACTAGGTACTCATTTGAGCAGGTGTCAGTACTAAAAAAGTCACATTCACAGGACAAAAATGAACCACATACAAGACCACAAGGGAATAGAAAAGAAAATACTATGATTGAAAAATGTATTGTGTAACTTTTCACGTGGGTCCATCAAATGCTTTTCTTCATCGAGATGTTATTATTCTGTCTGGAATGTTTCACAGTAGAACAGCAGAGCAATGACATCTCCATAGAAACAAGCAGGTGACCGACCCAAAAAGTTACACATTGCACCTTTTAATGTTGAAAATCACTTACGATTGTCTAAAGAAAGAGTATTTTTTATTATCATTGTAGTATTGGAAACAGTATTGAGTATCGAGTCTACTCTTTAGTATCAAAATCGAGTATGAAATTTGTATTAAAGTACCAAAATGGATCAAAACTACTTAAATTTCCCACTTTTATTTACTGTCTTAATTTCTTGGGGTCTTCAGTGCTTACGAGTGCACTCTAAAGCAGGGGTCTCCAAACTTTTTCCTCGGTTGAGCTACCTTTACAAAATGAAAATTCCAGAGAGCTACTCATTTTACAGGTCCATGGCGAGACTTTTAGATAAAACATAAAACATAAACCATTGTTTATTTACGAATGATAGAGTTACAATAATAATAGGCATTTAATCCATCAAATTTGAGTTATTCAGGACAATACGTGTAATTCAGAAATCCCTGACAAGCTATTTGGAAGGAGGTGGAGAGCTCCTGGTAGATCCCGAGCTACAGGTTGGAGACTCCCGCTCGAAAGCCTTACTTGACTACCTTCTTGTACGTACTATGAAGTATTGGTCTTAACTACGGGAGAGTCTTTCTGATGTGTTCTATTTCCTCAGTTTTTTTTTGTATCATGGGATGTGATTTGTAACAATAGCACGATGCCATGTTTAGCCCTATGTTGATGGTACTTGACTCTTCTGGTACACTATAGTCCTGCAGATGTTTATATTATAGGATCACTGACAGTTTCATGTTTTTAATTGCAATAAATCAGAATATGCCTAAATATAAGTCAGGATTTGTGTGTGTTTTTATTTAATGGGAGGTTTGGGTATTTCATAATAAGAGTAGCCAAGAATTGTTCTCAAGTAAGATTAATGTTACTTCAAAATAATATTACTCAAGTAGAAGTGCAAAGTAGTGGTCCAAGAAAGTATGCAAGTCAGAATAAGAAGTATAAAGAAAATTGTTAATCAAGTAAGAGTAACTTAAGGAGCAACTGTCAGGAATAACATCTGATTTGTACTGTATTTTTTGGACTATAAGTCACACTTTTTTTCATGGTTTGGGTGTTTCCTGCAGCTTATATATAAATGCTCACACTGAAGTGGAGAGAGGTTCTAGTCTTGTGTGTGAGTATCTGCTGCTCCTGTTCCTCCTGTACCACTGTCACTTCACTCTACTGCACATGTCTCCTGCAGAAAGAGCCTCTGTCCTGCTGCAAGTCGTGAAATATTCAGCTGAAAACAGTAATCGAGCAGCAGTAAGAGAGTTTAGAGTGATAGAGAAACTTGTGAGGGACTGGTGGAAAGCGTGAAAGGAGAACACAGCTTCACGGAAACCAGCAGGATGCACCATGAAACTTTCCTGAAGTCACTGGATGGATGGACAAAGTCTGGACTTCAGTGACACCGAAACCATCCTGTTGGGATTTAGAAAGACCTGAATAATTCTAACTGGAACTGATGCTGAGTCTGACGACAGCAACACAGAAGAGGAAGCGGCGCTCTGTTTACCTCCGGAGGTCGAGGCCGAGTTGTTCAGAAGTGAAACCGAGGATGAAGAATTGAATGGATTTAGTGATTTGGAGTGAGATGGAGAGTTTGGTTAAACTTGTTCTGTTCTGTTTTTTATGTTATAGTTTATCTGAAGAACTGTTCATATGTGACGTTCTCTTCTATTATTATTACTAGAACTTGACTTTACACAGGAAATGTCAGTTCCTGGTCTCTGATTTTACAAAATAAATTTCCCCCAAAAAGTGCAACTTATAGTTTTTTTTTTTTCTTCATTATACATTTTTTGGCTGGTGTGACTTATACTCCGGAGTGACTTATAGTCTGGAAAATACAGTAATTTGATGATAGTGAAAATTTGAAGGGCAAAAAGCTAAATAATGCACAAAATCAGCTGTTTTCAAAGGACAGACATAAAAATGAGACTAATGTTTCACAATATTACAGTAAATCTATGTATCATGCCTGTGCTTTATTGGCTAGAAAAATACATTGAAACATGCATTCTTACTGTAGGTGAACTTGCCTCTCCGCAGATCTGACTTACAACTTGGCCTGAGAGAGATGAATAAATGTCAAACCAACACTATCAAGACTATATTTCCACTCCTGTCCTATACAGAGTTAGAACACTACAACATTTACATAGGCCAGTCAGAGCAGACAATTCTGAACACTTAACATTGAAAAACATGCGTCTTTACTCTGTAGAGCAGGCTTGCATCTCCACAAACCTGATTCTTATTTGACCTGGAGGAGAGCCTCTTCCTGGTTGTTTCTGTGGAAATACTGTTCCTTTAGTCATCATTTTCCACATTATATTCCAAAGTAAGAATACAGTCATGCAAGTGACGCGCCACCTTCAGAATTTTTTTGCCGTGAATTTACAAAAACATTACAGTGTATACATCCCAATTATTCACAATTTGTTGCAATTCAGAATATTTTTATAGTACAATCAGTAACCTTTTACACCGAGTCGCATTTAAATTACAGCATAAATGGGATTAAAAACAGCTTTATGTTTGTTTCACTTTTTGTTAAGTATTTCCTCCCACTGATCAGAGAAGAAGAAAAAAATCACACATGCGTCACTAAAAGAGCTGTGTTTTCTGTTTTTCTCATTGATTCTGTGCAGTTTGAAGCCTAAATTACACAATCAAATACCATCATTTTTGAAAGTATGGTACGTGTAGTCAGTTACTTCCAGTGTTGGGAAGGTTACTTTTAAAATGTATTCCCTTACAAACAGTAGCGTAGCGTAGTTGCGCAAGGCCCCGGTGCAAGTCTGGCGCTGGGTCCCTCCCTCCAGCTTACGCCATCTCGACCCATCCCTGTGCGACACATATATATTCACTTTCCATAGGATCTAACTCTACAGCTTAAGCCTTAATGTAGAGTTAGTTTCTCTATACAGGTTGAGGTTTATTAAAAAACAATAAGGCCATTGGTTGTAAACATTAAACAGCCTCTCGTCAAAAACACCCCTGAACAACATCACTGAAAGAAGCAACCGGGCAAGAAACAGCCACGCATCGTGCAGCACCAGGGCTGTAGGGGGCGTGGTACGCGAGGGTACACCGTCCAGTCCTGTCCTATAGAGACCTGAGACTTGAGGGACCGGGACTAAACCAGGACTAAAACAGGACCAGTGGAGGGTGGTGGTATAATTTTATGGGAGTGGCACCAAGGGCAAAATTATAAATATATATTATGAATAATATATGTATTACATATAGGCTATAGTATTATAACAAATACCAGAAACATTTTGGTTACTAGTGGCTGAACTATATGAGAGCACAATGAACAGCCAAGCGCAAACTTTACGCAACAACACAACGTAACACGCCGCTCACACCCAGACCAACAACGTCAGCAAAACTACAATAAGAGGCTACGATCACAACATGAACACAGATGTCGCTCCTACAGCACACGACAGAACAACCAGAGCAGCTCCATCACACCCACCAGCTCATTTACCCACTATTTAACTAGAACACTATTTAACTATGACACTATTTAACTATGACACTATTTAACTAGAACACTATTTAACTATGACACTATTTACCTGTGACGCTCCATGTTCAGATTTGCCGCAAACTAAAGAAAACCAGCCTCTTACCTTCTCCAGAGACTGAAGCAGAGTGTTTCCTCTGTCCACTGTCCCACTGGTTCTGTCTCCAAAAGTCTATTGTCCAATATGAAGAAATCAAATTGGTCCAAATCCTGGTCCAGTCAGGTCCCTGACGCGAGGTCCGGGAGTCGAGTGCACGAGCTGATTGTAAAATTAGTCTTAATCCCACTTCCCACTTAAATGTGAAAGTTCCACCAGTCCATATCAGCACCAGGACACCAGGTGGACTTCTGCCTCTGCGCTACGCCCAGGACAAACTTTTACACCCAGAAACGAGCGGGCAAAGGCGGATAGACTTTAACCTCTGCCTGACCCCGGCGGCGGCAGCGAGAGCTCCGGCCCGGTGGCGACTGCCCCAGTCCCGGCAGCGACAGTCCCGGGTCCCGGCGGCGGGTCTGTCAGGTCGGGTCTTTGGTTCTGTTCTCATCATTTCCTGTGTGGAGCTTTAAGCTAAAGTAGCAGCTGCCGCTAATCGTGAAACTGCTACGAGTTGACGCAGCAGGTTGACGTGACGTGACGTGAGTGACAGAACAGCTGTCCAATCAGACGATACTAAATACACAGAGACTGTGATGTCATTGGTCTGGGCGCTTAAGTTTGTGCCTTCAACCCGAAGTAAAATGCGCAAATCGGGGCCGCTGACACCGTCTGTACGGAGTTTAGGGACACGGGCCAGTCCTAGATCGTGATGGACCCTCAAAGTTCCGTGGGCCCCGGTGCATCACACCGCCTGCACCGCTGAATGCTACGCGTCTGTTTACAAATTACAGATTACATACCCCAAAATGTAGTTTGTAACGTAATCCATTAAATTACTTAAAGTGAGTAACGTAATCTGAATACTTTGGATTACTTGATTTGCTGTAGAGAAGCAAAGACTCGGATATCTTCACATAAGATGTTTTATCTGCTAAAAGAAAATGAAAAGCCCAGACTTTACTTAACGGTATTAAAAATATTATTGATAGAAGACGAGGAGACACGGTCCACGCTGCATGATTTAGTCCTGTTAAATCCTGGTTTAGACCTGGTTTTAGTCCTGGTTTAGTGTCCGGCAATGAGTGGAATTACCAAACAAAACAAAACAAAAAACCCGGAATAGCCCAAAATGTGAAAACAGGAAAGTACCTCCATGTAATCCTTTTCTTTCAACAAAGTAACTGTAATCAAATTACCACTCATTGAAACAGTAACTGTAACCAAATACAGTTACTCATAATTTGTACTCTGATTACGTAACTCTGGTACATGTAATCTGTTACTCCCCAACACTGGTTACTTCCCAATAATGTCTATATATGCACTCATTTATTTATACCACGAGTTTTCCCTCTGTCTCACCACAACTGTCTGCGTCCACTGTTCTAAAAATACACTCCTGTCTTCTGCTGTGGAGTGAGCAGTTCCGGGGGCTATTTCTGTCCCACAGGGCGCAGGACAGAGCTCGGCGAGGGGACCCAGTGACCTTGTTGGGACCAGCTGTTCTGTGAGAAAGCCAGGGGTTGACAATGAGAAGAAGCTTTGGGACAGAAAAGGTATTGTGTGTTTTTAAGTGTGCATGATGGGAGTTGAAGTTTCCCACATACAGACGGCACGCTGTTATTATCTATTGTTTGGGTCAAAACAAAAGTGGTTGGAGTGAGCTCTCGGCGGCGTTCTCACACTTTCGCGGAAATGAAGAAGAACTGGAGACAAAGGAGAGATGTTGTGTCTTGAATGTTTCGATCCTATGAGATTTGTTCGATGTGTTAATGCATGTCCAGAGGCTTCAACACTTACAATGAAGTATCAAGAGTCAAGATTTTCAACAATGATCATGAACAAAACACTCATAAACCCAAAAGGTACTGGGTATTATTAAGCATGCAGGTGACATTCCAGCTCCACTAAGTTTCTTCATATAAAACACAAAGTGAGCTTCGTTCTTGCTCGGGCTAATGCTCTTAAACCAGACGCTGCAGAGGCCTGAGCAGCTCCACCCTTCCTCCCCTCACATCAGCACATTCCTGCCCCAAAACACAGCTACAGTCAGGGACACAAGCAGCCAGAGCCCTGCACACAGACTGGAGCTCTTTCACACTGATGCTTTCAAGGAGCTGAATCTGATTTGTACTTTCTTCAAAACGTGAAAA